AAAGTCTTTCGCATTAAATATCATTTATTCGGGTGGAAACGAACAAAATTGAGTTTTTTCCAATATCTGAGGGTCTCATTACGTTTTAATCGCTAACAAATTTTTCATTGCAAATAGCTGCGTGGAATTCCCGTTGTGCCTCAAACCAGTGTCGAACATAATCGTAATCATAATTACGATTACGATTGTAATCGCAAATTTTTCTGCGATTACGATAGTATTTTCAGCAAGGTTTTCCACCATTGAAATTTTTTACCTCGAAACTGACTTCAGATTCGTGTCCCTTGCACTCAAAAAACTTAGAAAACGAAGCTTTCGTCAATATCAACAATTTTTTTAATTGACCCTAAGTTAGGCTCTATCTTAAGGCATTGAATTATGTTAACTGAAAATTGTCAACTTTTGATTTTGACGAAAGCATGGTTTTCTAAGTTTTTTTTGGGACGAGGAACACGAATTTGAAGTTGATTTTCAGACACAATGTCTGAAAACACGTGAAAATACGATCGTAATCACAACTCTGAAACATTTGATTACAATCGTCAACCGTAATTATGATTACGATTACGTCCAACATTGCCTCACTGTTAGCGATTCCTTAACATCCCTAGTCTCTACTGTAGTAACGTTTACATTTGAGTGAAATAATGTTGGGAGAAGGAGGTTCGAGGAAAAACCAATGCATTCATAAAATATCAACTATTTAAGTTTCAATCGCAGAGTGAATCTCGTCCAACCCGTCAGGCGTATACTTAACAGCTATCGATTCACAGAGGCAGGCTCGATTAAATTTTAAACCAAACTCTGGATGTACCCAGACAGCTAGAACTTGATTTTCGAATAAACATTGCCAGGGATTGATTAGCTGTATCTCGCTTATATTAATCAAACACTGGCTCCATATAAACGGTTATACATCGATCCTTTTTTTTTTTTTTTTTTATATCTCTCCTGGAGCTTTCGATCGTACGTATATTTGTGTTTGTAAATAAATTCCTCATTTACTCTGGCGTATCAGCGTTTCGTGCGTTTCCCGATGCTCCTCGTAATCAATTGAATCCCTCTTTCACGTTTTTATTTGAATAAATGCAATTCATTTTAGCAGGTATTTAAAATCATTGTATCTAGAGTAGAGTTTTCTAGTTTCTAGTTTCCACTCTGCTGGCTTTTTCACGAAGCTTTCATGAAGTTCAATTGACGAACCGATTGGTTTTTAACCGATCGAATGAAAATTATACACTGGAAAGCTTTGACAGCAAAAAATGATTAAATTCCAGTGCCTTAACGATTGTTCTCCTCAGAAAACGAGTGTTTCCAGAAATCACTTGAAGAGTATCGTTGTAGGAACAGTCCAGGCAAGGAAATTAAATCGACGTGTAACTTTGAAGCGCGTTTCTCTTTAATTCATTCGAAATGGAAGTTCAAAAATAGTCCTAGTTCGTTTAAATCCACAAATATAGGCTCTCGTTTAAGGACTCCCGTTTCGAGGTACCTTCCAAGTATGATAATATTGTCACCTTTAACCCTTTGCGCTCGAGAGGTACTCTCGGTCACCACTAGGTTTGACGCAGCAAATCTACCAGCAATAATAATTAATATCTTTGGAACTCGAAGTGTCGATAAAATGATTGTCGGTGAGGTAAAGGCGACCTGATTCGCAAATTGGAGATCTCATCTCCGATGTCGATACAATCTTAGGATTCGTGGCGATAGAATGCTAAAAAAGAATCTCGAGTTGTTGATAGATACCAGAAAAAAGGTCTCGAGTGCCAAGGGTTAATATCGCGATGGGAGAGTTCGAGGGTCCTTCGTGTTTGTAAACTGTTGCGATTTTTATGTTAGATCGTAGCGTCGTTTGTTAGGGAGTGATTAGGTTATTATAGAAACGAAGATAGGAGAACTGATTAGACGAACGTCAGGCATACTTACCCAGGAAGAACGGTAGAATGATCGCCAGCATATCCGACGTGTTCTACTGATACGACTGATGCGACAGCGTTCCATCTGTCTCCTCTTTATACGACAGAGAACTTGATTCATTACCGTCTCCTTGAAAACAATTTCATTAACGACCGCTTCCGTGCGTATCGTGGTTCCTCCAGACATCTTCCGTATCGCTTCGCACGCCTAATATCATTTTCCATAGTCTGAAAGATTTCAGCACGCGCGCTCCGTTGAAATTAAATCGACTGGATCAAACCAGAACAGGCGACACGCTCTTGCCGTTCGATACCAAGGACTAGCCGAACCTGGACGTAGTTTATTTAATAATATCAAACGAAAAGGCAAATAAGCAGGTAAATAAAAAATTCTTACTTGAAACGAAAGGGGGAACTATTTTATACTATTTTATACAGAAATTATTTTTGCCGGGTCCGATGGAACGCACGTGGCGAATTAAATAATTGTAACGAATAAATTTAATTTTGTCGTCCTTTGTTAGAGCCCACGGATAGACACTCTGAAGCTAGGTGTTATTTTTTAATTTCCCAAGAGCAACCATACAATATCTCTGTAACATTTAATGGAATGCATGTGGTGAATTAAAGGTGATGTTATTATTTAATTAGATACAGTTACTGTAAGAAGTCTTCGTATAGCAACCAATTTAAAATAAATGGTTCCTGTACGAATACTTGTTACTAGACTGCGGATCTTTATGCAAAATAAAGTCTTAGCGAACGTGCCTAGAACAATTGAACCTAAATACGAATTTATTTTATCCTGGAAATATCGTAACGTGAACTTTACTTTCAATCTTTTCTATATTCTTGCATATTGTTTGCATTTTGTAGCTTCATGCACATTAAAATTTCCTATAAATGCATAAAGATCCGCAGTCTACTTGTTACACTGACTGTATATTAAGTAAATGTGGTAAATGAATTCAATTTTTCTTTGCTTTGTTTGAGCTTGATGTCGAGCGACATGACTGGTAATTTATGTAATCTAACTCGTCGAATGTTATTGGGCGACGTTTAATTATTTTCCGTGCTTTTCAAGAATCCACGATGTCGCTTGCGCAGTGATTAAATTAAAAGCAAACGCATTGTTGCGGTGCACATATTTCCCGCTAATGGAGCACAGATGCGCGCCGCAATAAAGCTCTAACTTGCTTGGGACCAATATAGTCGTTCGAGGGTGCTCTAAACAAGCTATAGAAGAAATGGGAGATTTTTGGAATAACATCAAGCGAAATCACTTTGATCGGTTTGGAGCTTTGTTAGTAGCTTCTTGGAGCTTTCTTTTTGAGCTTACTAACCTAATTTACCTAACACCTCGAGTGGAAACGTCGATTCTTAGAATTTGTTTCATTAAACCTTGGAAGAGAGGAATGGAAAAAAGAATTCTAAATAGAGAAATTTATTTTCGTTTGTTTAATGTCATTGTTAGTTAAATAGGAAAATTCTCAATTTTTATTTATTATTATAATCGACGCTTTATTAACCTATTTCTATCGCAAATTCCACATGTACCGTAAACATATTTAAATACACTTTTATAATAATAATAATTATATAATATATGATTAAATTTAAATAGAAACATCACTTGATTAGGCATTCGATTTGCTTTAGTTGCACGGAGCATTTACTCTTTGAATAAATAAACTGGAACTATCGCATCTGCCAGACGAAAACAGTTGAACAACAAAATTGCGATACGCATTTTATTAAAATCAACACTTGAGATATTATTTCATTTCGAAGCTTGCATTGTTTATCGATTAAAAATACTGCACGTGCTGCGCACGAAATATACAATAAATTCATTAAACGATGTATCGAAAGGAGAGGTATTTTTTGGAGTGCCTTTAATTTAAATTTGCTTAGGAAATAATATTTTTATCGTGCTGCAGTCGAAATAAATGGTAAATTCGATAAAATCGTTGAATCGAGAATAAATTCATTCTCAATTATCTCAGGTAGATTGGAGTGATGATGTTTGGAATTCGACAGGGTGCAGCAGGGTCAAGGGGAAACAAATTACTATATCGATTCGCTACGTTCCCTTTATTTTACTCACAATCAGTTAATTCGGCGTGCTCAGGGTGGATACGTGTAATCTATTATGAATCGTAATGTAATTAATATGATAACTGTAATTATCAGCAGAGAGGATCCTAAATGGGTATCGAAGAGTTTACAATCATTGTTTTACGTACACTTTATGTCTTAGTAATAATACTTCAATGACAGTTTAGATTTTCCTTGGATTAATTCTTAATTTAAAATTGTTTACAGGTTTCTTCCATCTGAAGGATCTCTAGGAGGAAAAGGGCTTACAATTCAGTGGTTAGTTGACCGAAAATTTTAGAAATGTAATATCTTGAGTAGAAATGGACAATGTAACTCTAGTTAAGTGACTTAGAATCTTAAGCTTATAAAAATCCATCCTTGCATGGTTTATTCTAAGGTACAGACACAAATCCGTGACGTTATAAAGCTTCTCACAGAACTGTACTTATCTGTAACTTATTAATAACCCTTTGCGCTCGAGTGGCGCCTCTAGGGCGACATATGTAATTTAATAGTGATTTTTTTGAACGTACACTTTCAATTTTACTTATATTGGAATACAGTTAATTATGAATTGAAATAATAATGCATCGAGTCATGAATGTTCGTAGATGTTTCTTTTCGAAGTAGAGTTTTCGGTTTTACAGAAATTTATTATAAAAATGGACCGGATTTGATTTTATAGAGAAATGCCTCGAGTGCAAAGTGTTAACCTACACAAGCTTAGAAACACTTTCGATCCTCTTGATTGGATCACCATCACCTGAACACCTGAAACATAGCAAACAACAGCTGTAATATATCTATAACAAACAGTAGAATGAAAGATTGAAAACAGAAACAGAAACGTTTACCTGTAATCAACTTTTATCAGTCTCACTAGCCTCCAGGCTACGAATCACAAACAATTACAATTAAAAACAAAACCTCGCCTGGTGACTCAACACCTGCTCTCAGAATGACTACCACCTGTTCCTATTACCACTTTAAGAGAATAACAAACCAAACAACGTTTTCTTATAGAAATGAAAAGTCTCTTTATTATGTACAGGATCGTATAACAATACAGTTGTAACCCTATTCGCAGGAACAGTGTTACCAAAGCAATCTCCACGAGTCTCGTTTCCATCCACGGATTCCTTTGCCATCACTGTCGATGCGAATAGCTGAATTTTTATGGCGATGAGGATGAAGCAATTCCGTGGGCTCGATTAGGACATCATAGAGAAATCACCACCGTAGTACGAGTTTTCCATCGACCATCCTCCGATGAATATACTGGTTGGTTCGGGATCCTTCACTTCTGGTGGCAAGTCTCTTGCTTGCTCCACAGAGTATAGCCTTAGGTTTATGTTCTCGTAGAGGGTCGTTCCTTCGTATACTCTGTTGATAGTCACCACGTTTCTGGTACCAGTCATGAACTCCGAGGACGTGACCACTATGTGACTCTCGGATGAGCTCTGCAATCAGAAGAGCTGTGAGTTAGGTCTGAAGCTTGGAATTTGGTTTACCTGAGAAAGGTGGGACTTGAAACCTTAGTTTACTAGAGGACTCTGGGTCTCAAGCTTAGAACATAGTTTTCTCTAGAACTCTGGGTTAGGTTTGAAACTAAGAGTTTAATCAAGAAGGTTAAGGTAGATCTGAACCGTGGAACATAATTTTTAACCGGCTTCGAAAAGGAAGAGGTTACTTAATTCAACATGTATATTTTTTTTGTTTTCTCTGCAACTCTGGTACTTCTCTGTAACTTCTCTAGAACATCTCTAGAACTTGGGTCTGTAACGTGGAACTCGGTTTATTCTAGAACTCTGGATTAGGTCTGGAACTTGGAATCTAATTTTCTCTAGAACCCTGGGTTAAGTCTGGAACATGGAACCTAATTTTCTCTAGAACTCTGTGCCTAGAGCTTAGAATTTAATTTACCCAAGAACTTGTCAACCTATCTTTAGTATCAAAACCCCTCAAACTCATACTCACAGCAGTGGACATAACATCCCTGTATCGCCTGGTAGTATCCGCGCTACCAAAGAAGTACGGTACATTATGCAAGCACATATGCAGATTCCTTATCTTCCTGATCTGCAGCAACTGATCCTCCGACAGCCCATAGACAGTTTCCAGAACGTATTCTCGATTCTCGTCCAACTCGCGATGAATGGCGTTTCTGGTGATCCTGAAGATAGTCTGGCATTCGCCCTGAGTATAGTTCTCCATCGCTTCGAATGCATCCGCGTAGTCATCCGTCAGTGCTCCGATATTTAGCTGATCGACAACCACGCGAATCATGTCCAGTTCCCTTGGTTGAATGTTCTCGTTGACGACGAGGCTGTCTATACCCTGCTCCGTGAACTTGATCTCGAATTGGTCGGGGTACATCTCGTAGGCTGTCTGCCGGCTCACAGGACTCGTCGGTTGCCCTGGTATGGTTGGATCGAGGACCTCTGTGACGAAACTGTTCGCCTTCGAGTCGCTGAAATGGCAGCTGAGCACGTGGTGGTTGTAGCTCTTCGGCTGGCAAATAAGCTTCGACGCCATGTTCAGTCGAACGCTGGTGTAGCCACCCTCGGGGATCCCCGTCGAGTTTACTTGAACCTCGAACGTGTACACGGGCCCGTACATCCAGGGGAGATCCACCTCCACACGTGCCGCTGAAAGTGGAACGAGCTTTGCAATTTTTGAAAGATATTTTGTATTGTTTGCGGATAGGGAAGATTGGGCTAGGAGGTGATGTTTGGGGTGGGTTAGAAATGGGAAAAGTAGTTGGAAGAATTGTTTGTTGGTTGATAGAAAATGGAATGAATTTAGTAGTTTGGAGGCTTTCTTTTATTATTTATGGATCTAGAGACATTAGGCTAGTAGGTGATCGAGGAAAGGTGATCTTGGGGTGGTGTGTAAATGAGGGAGTTAGGTGGAAATATTGTTAGTTGATTCCTGCATGTAGGAAAATTCCACGTGGAGAATGGAACGAATTTAGTAGTTCGTAGGCTTTCTTTTATTATTTGTAGATAGAGATACTAGGCTAGTAGGTGATCAAGAAAAGGTGATCTTGGGATAAAATTGAATGTGGGTGTCTGTTGTAAGAATCGTTAAGTGGTTTGAATTCAATCCTCAGGGACCGCAGAGCTGTGCTAGATTACAGCTGCAGTACGGGTTTAGCGAACCCGAGGTACTCGAGCCCCTCGTAGGCCTATTGAGGCTCATTACAAGAGCAAATAGAGTTTGTTTAAAAGCTGTACTGTGTTAGATTGGTAATCAATTTTTAGATTGTACCATAGAATTCTATGTTACGATCCATACTATACTATGGAATTATACAATATAATAGAGGAGATCATTACCAATCCTTACAGTACATATCGAAAAATCTACCTACGCTCTTCAAGCAACATTTTTCTCCCCAACAAATGAATATTTCCTGTTGAAAAAAATTACACACCACCTCGACATACCTATGAATAAGTACACAAAGTTTGAAGTAGCTGCTATTAACAGTTTTCGAGGAAAAAATTGGAAAACGAGCACTTTCCTGGTGCCCCAGTACATATTGAAAAATCTACCTATGCTCTTCAATCAACATCCTTCCCCCCGACAAATGAATATTTCCTCTTGACAAAAATTACACGGCACCTCGACATACCTACGAATAAGTACACAAAGTTTGAAGTAGCTGCTATTAACAGTTTTCGAATAAAAAATTGGAAAAGGAACACTTTCCTGGTGTCCCAAAGTGGAAGTTAATGAAAGCCTTTGTATGCTAACGAAACCGTGTTTGTTACTAACCGCACCAGCTGATTGTCGTCAGGCGACCACTCCTAACACGTTCCAAACGAAGTTATACATTACCTGGGAAAATAGAAGAATCGAAAGATTCTTCATTGAAGACCTGCTCTTGCGAAACGAATAACACACGATCCCCATAAAGCTTCCGAAGGAAACGAAGCGTCCCAAGTTAACCAAGACGTTTATCAGCTCTGATTGCTCAGGACAGCTACCCTACATTTCGCGAGCGCGCGCGAACGCGCCAGACGGTCCACGCGTGTACGAGAATTGAATGATTGAGGTTTGAATAGACCGATTAGAGCACAGGTCGCTAGTCTTCGATAATGCGCGTACTTTTGACTTTCTTGACCTGCTCGTTCACCAACTTCCCTTACCTCTGACGAACTACCCAACGGGTTAACTGTTTCGTTTCGAGCTCTGTTCGGGACACACGCTGTCCTAAGAATCGACCGTGGACGCGTAAAGGCACTCACATACACGCGTGTATACACAGGTTCGTCCCGAGAGCGTGTGGCTTACCTAGGAAAAATGGTACCACCTGCAGTACTATGTTCATGGTGACACCGTGCAACGTTCGACTACTTTAACGGAGTCACCGATGTTGGGGCCGCTCTTATACCGTGGCTAAACTGCACTACTGACCTCTTCTTACGATTAGCGAGCTCCAATTTACCGAAGCCGCTCTCTCTTTCCAGTAGGAAAATAAAGTGTGTGGACAGCCCGACGACAGATTTAGAGAATTGATACGGCGGTTCCCAATCGGGGTCATGAAGGGACCCTACGTCACCCGTTTATACACGTCATGCTCGAAACCGGCTGCCAATTACCCCTGCGTGTCAACGACCGTCGGTTATCCCCGTCGGTGCCATCCGTCGACGTTTCAATTCTGCTTTTTAATCCGAGGCCGTTATGTTTAATCGCTTTCCCAATCGAAACCGCTCCTGAGGATTACCCTATTGAGCGCCGCGTGCCCTATTTAGGGGATCACTCGCAGAAACGCTCGCGTGGGAATCGTTTTAGCCTAAATTTCGAAGGTGGGAACGCGAGACTTTAATATTAAGCGTTATAGTTTTCATCGAAATGTTTACGAAGCATTTTTGGAGGAATTAATCAGAGGG